GCTGAAAGGAGGATACTAGTTCTGGATAGAGTATAATGACAGGACAAAAAGGGTTTCTTTTTTAAACAACTTTGGTATAATTACGGCTCTAACTAGGTTGCTCTGTCAGCTAAACGCACGTTTTATAGTCTCTTTACTAAAGTTAATGATTAATCAATTACTAAATTAGTTTATGATTATATCAATAATCAATTAATCACGAATAATCCAATTCATTTTTTCAGCACTAGATACCACACTTTTCATTAGCTGTAAGACAAACAATTTTGACTTTCTGGCAACATTTTTGGTTATAAACATTACAAAACAAGAAAAAAAAATAATGATTTGTAAAAGATTTAAGTGAAAAGATCAAGGGAATAAAACTTCATATCAAATCTAATTTGAAGAACTCCTGTACTCTTAGTATCACTTCTAGTTTGTTAATAAGTAGAAAAAAAATACATTTTTTATTAAAAATTATTTCATTAATAACCATATTATTTTTTGGATTTATCCTTTTTGTTTGTTTTGTTTTCATATTTCCTCACAAGCCAAATGTTAAAAAAAAGAAACTGTTCAGCATTGGTCGAGTTAAAGTCAAAAGAGCAAAAACAAACACCTTTATGTCTAGTTTGATCTATTCTGCTATGCTGTAAAGAAAAAAAATTGACAAATTGATTTCAAATGAATTATGAGGTATTCCTCAAGCATAGTTCGATAGTAACACACCCAAGGTGTACCATTTTGTGCAAAATTTTGATATATTATTTTGTGTTATAAGCACAATATTAAAAAACACGGAACAGAACTAGATTACAAATTGTATATTTTATGCTCCTAAAAAAATTAAACCTTCTGGAAAAAAAAAACACCTATACAGCCTATTTGCAAAAACAAGATCAGAACTTTAAACATATTTAAAACTTATTCAAGTAGACTTACATTTATCATTACATTTTAACTCTAGAAACTGTTCAAAGTTCCAAAACTGAATTGTTTACCTTATGCATGCAGATATATTTACTCAGACATGAATACTAATTTTTGAAAAAGATGAAACTGATTATGAAACAACTTCCTGAAGGAGCGTCCCAGTCCTAAAGGGGGATTAGAAATGGCTTTTTGTGCCAATGAAGGTACTGGTTTAATCTATAGTTGCAATGGATATCTGTTGAGCGATGACTTACAGTAAACTCCATCCAAGCTTAAAGCTCGACGTGCTAACAAGCAGGTATCAGGTTTTTTGATTCCCAGTGTAACTCTAGAGCATCCATTCTTAACCTGCTTCTCAGGTCAGATTTATCTCTGCCTCAGAACAATGATAGTTTTACCGCCTCCCATAAAGCACTCCAGAAACGTTTTAACCATCAATGAAATTGAAGTAGTGGCAGAAGGGAAACACCATTAGGATGTAGGACACCAAGTCCTGAGCTCAGGGATGAGAAGTTCTGATCTAGAAAAGCCAGATTGGAAAAAGTTGTTCTAATATTCTGAAATATAAGGCATTCATATCTATGATTATGAATTATATGAAATGTAATTGAGTTCAGTGGGTGATTATTTTCTATCTATAATTCCAAACAAACAATAAATACAATTTACAGAAATACAACTAATTTCTTACATGAATAATAGTTGTTGCACTAAAGCTGTAAGGTCATATAATACTTTATCTTTTGATGTATAAAAAAAAATTATATAACAAGAATTTTTTGTGTATGATGTAACATAAGCAGTTCCCTGTTTAATAGAACATAAAATGGTGATTTAGGGGGATTTCTCCAGCTATTTGCTCTGTTAGAGGCTGTGTTTGACTCCTTCACACCAACCCAGCTCAAAGTTTGCTAAATGTATTATAAACAAAACAGACGCCACAATAGCAGTAATACCATCCTTTAATTTCTATGCAAAGACTGGCTTTTGAGATGTTAGAAATATTTCCCTATGATCAAATTGAACCTCCTAGGTGAGAGAGAGCACAGTGGAACAGATGGCGGAGTTGCCAAGAAATTGTGGTAATTTAATGAAAATCACTTAAAACCAAGATAATAGTCTTTAAAGTTCAGATTTAGATCTATTCAGGTCCAACAGAACCATCCAGGCATGGGTAACCAACTATGGGTAAAAAAAAAAACATACCTTTACAGTTCTGATGCAGTGGTTTGCACAAAGCTACAGTCTGAGCCCAACTACATTTAGCTTTAAACCTTGTTTTGCAACGTTTAGAGATGAAGCCCAGCAGGATTTCTATCTTTAAAGTGTCTTGTTTGCTTTTGCTTGCAGGGGTTGCCAGGTCACCGACCTAGGACTGCAGCCCTATAGACCCCTAAACTGCCTGGCCAATCTTGGATTAAAAGAAACTGTTGTGGAACAACACTGACCAGGTCACAAAGAGGGCAAACACAGCTGGACCGCAAAGAGGTTTAAAAATACAACCTGGAATCGCTCCGTTTCTGTTAGGCCTCAGGGTTAAATTTAAATACCACTCAGTCTGAGAAGCAAAGAAAGGGATTATAGTGAAGAAAATTAAGAATCTAAGACAAAGAAAAGTGTGAAAACAAGCAAATTTACAACATGTGCACAGAGTACCATTGCTCTCCTCCTTTCCACATGAACTCAATCGATTTTTCTTAACTGCTGACAAGAACTTACTGATGATTTAATCATCGCTCTGATTAACATCCACCATTTCCCACTCATGAGCCACCCATTTCCACACTGACACACACAGATCACTCAGTCAGTCATGTGACTGTTACTGATTGTTCCTCTTGTTGTCTTGTCTGACCTTTCCTCCTCCTTCCTAAACCTGACTGCACCGTTCCTTAGAAAAACAATGCATCTTGTAAAATTTCCCTTTTAACAAATACACCAATCAAGTGGGATTTAGAGTCACACACGTTTTCACTGATTTATTTCTCTTATTCATAAATGGTATCAAATCCAGTAGCCTACAACATTTTCAACCAAATAAATATTGATGTTGAATTTGCAAAAAAACATATCAAGTTGAGGACAAACATCGGGGAAAATAATCACTACAATCCTTCAATTTTTTCCATAGTGAACCTTTTTTAAAGATAAATTACAATAATCTGACATAAATGGCAATTTATATGAATTACTAAATGTATTGGTAATTATTAAATTCAAGGTGTCTCCACTATGGAGACACTAGTAGATTGCTTGCATGCAGGGACATTTTGGTCTATACTTTTACACCAACCGTTAACAAAACAGGATGAATCTGGTTCTTCAGCTCTGTATAGAAAAATTTAAACAGCACTTCATTCATGCACATTCTCGCAACCATGTCTTCTTTCGCTAAGAATATGTTAATGTCTTGTTGGCTTTTTATATCTTTGATTTCAGTACTTTTAGATTTAGTGCTTTTAGAGTTTCCCTCCCTCTACACGCCTGGATTAAACAGTTAAACTTCTTCACTAACAGCAGTCAAGCTCTTGAGCTCATATAGGTGAAGCAGTGACATCTAAAAGTTTCAGGACTCCAGCCTTAAAGGGCAGAAGTTTTAGACCACTACCCATCTATTCCATATAAAAGCTAAATCTACTGGTATTACATGTTGAAAAGAAGACCCACACCATAATGCTCTCACCTCCAAACTTGACTGTTGGCACGGGGTAATTTGGGGGACGCACAAAGCCATGACTCATTCAAAGATGATGTAAGCAATAGGATCCAAAGAGAGAAGCTTCAATCTAATTTGATCAGACTATAATGACAGTATTTTTAAAGGCTTTTCCAAATCTTATCCATCCACCACAGAACAAGTTTCAACATGTTTGGGTTTTTCTTTTTAAACAGGGAAGTTTTCTGCAGTGCATATTGCGTTGGAGGGCATAACCTATGTTTTGTTGATAAGTAATGCATCTGCTACTGCTGAGGCTTTCTAAAAGAGAGTCTTAAAGAAATATTAGTTTTAATCTTCAACAAGTAATCAAGCCGTCATTTCTGGTTTATGGTTAAATTATTTGCACTTTTGGATTATAGCCCTAACAGAACTCAATGGAAGATTCTTTATTTTTTTTAAATGTCTGAATCCTAGTGAGAAGGCGGGATAAAATCTAAAATAAATACAGATTTCATGTGGTTTATTGCCTTTCTATGATTTCTAAGCTTATTTTATTTCTCTCGTCAAAACATTACTGTTATTTTTTAAGACATATATATAGAGATCCACGCATTTGGATTTCTTCACGAGTGGATTACTTTGGTTTGTGCAATTTACTTGATTTCTATGCTGTATGTTCTGATGCATAGCTAGGAAATGACCTGTATCAAAGATATTGCAGCATATCTTGTTTGGGGACACCTCTATTTTTCCCTCCATTACCTCATCAAGATCTTAACACCCGCCTGGATCCTCAGCTGAATCTTTTCTCTGCCAGCAGGAGAACCAGCACATGACACACCCTTTCTTAACAAAAAATGGCTTCATCTTGGCTCCTACTCAGTATAAAAAAAGTTTAATTAACTTTAGAGATGCGAGAAAAGTTATAATCTGAGGCTTTCCTTTAGTGCAAAGTTTTAGGAGATGAAACAACTAGACTATAGGTAGAGTCCATTCCCTGAGAGTGTCACTAAGGAGGATCAAGCAGGCATATGCATGGGAAACTTGGAAGCAATCAAAAGTGTGAGAGAATCATGTTGTCAGGAAAGTATTTCCAGCTGGGTACTAGGAAGGAAACAATAGACTTTATTGTCAGAGATCTTAAATTACCTAATGGATGATTCAGAACACAAAGAAGACCACTGACCTTAACTGGAGAGCTTCTCTTTAAAAAAATAAGAGCTGCTGTATCAGATATATAAACTTCTATTGCATATATATAATTTCAAAAGGTTGCGCGTAAAAGTTTGTACATATATACAGACTTTTACGCGCAACCTTTTGCGTCACAGCGTAGAAAAACTAAAGCAAATCTTACCTTTGAAAAAAACTTTTAGAAGATCCGGTTTGTTTCACTCACTCTCCATTTGAAGCGTCTACCTGATGCGTCATGTCTCTCCAACTCCAAACTTTTTTTTGTTAATTAGCCTACTGTCCGTATAAAAACTCCAGGTGTATCATTTCCGTGAAAAGCTTCAGTGCGCTTCATGAAACTCCCGGATTTAATCTGCTCCACTCTGTCAGAGAAGGGGCAGGAAAAGCTGCCCCGCTGTCAGGGGCTCTGTCTGTCTGTCTGTCTGTGGACGCTGTGATGAAGCCAGGACGAGCAGAGAGGAGGGGAATGAAGAAAATACTAAAGAGCTGGAAATCCCACCTGGAGGAGGCAGGGCTCAGGTAGGACAGCAACCCGCAGTGCGCGCAATGAGGACATCTAGCGGCGAAGATGTAAAACAGCGACTAGATTAAGCCCAAAAAAACAAAAACATTTTGAATTTTTCTTTTATTATTAGGGTGTTATTTTTATTGAATAATTTAAATATTATATTATGAATATCAATTTTCCAACTTAGGGCCACTGAAATAATAAAAAAAAAATGTAACTGATTTTTTTATTTTATTTTGTTTAATATGGAGGAAAAAAGCCAGAATTTTGAGAATAAAGACAGAATTCTGAATTTTTTCCCATATTATACTGAAATAACATTAAAAAATCAGTTAACTTTTTTTTCAGTGGCCCTAATCCTCTTCTGTACATATGATGAATCGAAGTTAGAATTTTTTTATCTATAAAATGTTTTTTAATGAATTGAAAAGAAAAAAAATATCAAATTGCTGGTATTTTACCAGACATGTTCAGCTCTTGCAGCAAGAAGGTTGCGGGTTTGATTCTTTCTTTCTTTCTTTCTTTCTTTCTTTCTTTCTTTCTTTCTTTCTTTCTTTCTTTCTTTCTTTCTTTCTTTCTTTCTTTCTTTCTTTCTTTCTTTCTTTCTTTCTTTCTTTCTTTCTTTCTTTCTTTCTTTCTTTCTTTCTTTCTGCATGGGGTTTGTATGTTCTCCCTGTGCATGTGTGGGTTTTCTCCAGGTACTCCAGCTTCCTTCCACAGTCCAAAAACATGACTGTTGAGTTAATTGGCTTCTCTAAATTCTCCTTAGGTGTTAGTGTGTCCGTGAATGGTTGTTTCTCCTGTTGTTTGACCTCACTTGGGATTAAGCGTGTCAGAAAATGGATGGATGTTGAGCTCTACTATGATTCAGATAAGCAAACTCTATTCAGGATTGAATTGCTTAAATATAGAACTTGATTATATAAAAACAATTTAACAATTTATCATCTTACAAGCGTATATCTATATATATATAGCTTGTTTTGCATTTTAGTGACGAATATTCATAATTTACGTAGAAATTTTTTACATTTTGTCACATTTAAAGCACTAACTCTGCTGCTATTTATATAATAACTCAAAGTGATGTATCTGTAAAGTGGAGGCAAAGTGATACATGTTTTTTTACATTTCAAGAACCAAGCATCCCCTCACCATAATACTACTACCGGCATGTTTCTTGGAACAATTTCTTTAATATTTCAGTAGTCCCCCTACATGGTTAGTCTTAGGCTGGAGTGAGAATACTTCCAGAGAAATCCAAAATGTGACAAAAGGCCGGGTTAGAAGTTCAATGGTGTTAATAATTTTGTAAGGCACTATTTAACTCACAGGGACTTTTGAGTCTACAGTATCTCATTTATGCTTCTCATGTATGGATGTAATTCTTCTCTGTGTCCAGTTAACACTAATTTCCATTTGTCTGTGAAGCTTGATAGACAGTATGCAAAACTGCAGAAACAAATGTGTTCATTAATCATGCAAACTCTACTTGTACAGTGACGCTGGTTGCACTTCCTTACTAATGTTGCAATGTTTTCCTGCATGATTTATGCTTAAAAGTTGAGGGAATAAGTTGCTTTCCACCAGAATAATCACTGGAAAACTAAAGCACGCAAACATGAGCTGTTGATGAGTTTAAATATAGACTCTTATGCCCTGCATTAGGTGGTGCATCCTGGGCATGTAGGCTAGTCTGCTCCCAACACGGACGCAGTTTGTGATCCCATGAGATAGTCTAAGATAGAGTTTCCCCTTCATGCCTCCTGCGTTATTAATAAACACAAAGTTAAACAGTGTTTTCCTGAGGACATACAAACAGCAAAGAACTACTTTGAGGTGCAAACCAAGCTGTGCTTTAAGACTGAAACACTGGGGCTGTCATCTCCAAAACAGTGAGTAGGCCATATTTGATTTGAGTTGTTAATCATCTCTTTGAAAGCCAGCAGCAGCTGCAGTAGGAATCGTTAATTAGCCTAAATTGGCTTTTTAAGAAGTGATTAGATTATTAAAACCAATCTGTCATTTAAGGTTGCTTATCCGCTGATTAATGAGTTTAAAGTTTTTTTTTTTTTGTTTCAGTTTGTTATGAACAGAAAACAACAAGTGGAGGATGGTAACAACAATAAATCTACTGAGGAATTACACAGTGATGAAGTTTCAACACAGCATGCACAGACCGACTCTGAAACAGAGACTGTTTTCAGTCCGTATGACCCAACATGGCTGAATACAGTGAAGATTAACCAGATGGGGATGAAAGCTCTGGGGGAACTTTTTGAGTACTGGATCCAACAAGTGTCAGGTCTGGAGAGGGAGAGGGACGAGCTGATCCAGGAGCTTCTGAGTCTGCAGGACCCTAGGCTGCAGGTTGTGGAGCACCTTAGAGGAAAGCAAAGGGAGGCAAAGAGGCTCCTCAGTCAGGCTCAGCTGGATTATGCTGCTGTTCATAAGGAAGCGCAGCAGGTGAAGAGGAAACTATTCAGCACAGCCAGAGACTGCATCCAGAGTCAGGTGATGCTGGCTGCGCAGGAGTACGAAGTGGCTCAGTGTGCTATTACACAGGCATGTACACACTTCTCTCTGCCCCTGAAATGTTTTTTTCTGCTTCTCAACTCTTTAACCTCATCTTTGTGTGCATAGTTATGTCTGTCTTTGGTAGATAAAGCTAACAAATGTTATAGAATTCTTAAACTTCACAAGTAAAGATGAAATACTATATATATATATATATATATATATATATATATATATATATATATATATATATATATATGCAATGCAAGCTCCTTGTGTCAGGTTAGGTGAAATGTAGAAAATCCAAATGCAGAGACTTTTTTTACTTATAGGTTTAATCACGTTGGTGGCAATAGAAGGATGAATCCAGGCTGAACATGCAGGGAACTTAGGAACCAAAATGAGGAAGAGAATCCAGCCCTGAGGAACTGCAAAGGAGGAGTATATAGGACAAAGAGTGGAGTAATCAGTTAATTGGGAGCAGGTTTGAATAGAAACAGAATTAAGAAACTAATCACTACAAAATAAGGAATTACCAAGGGAAACCCTAGATGATAAAAGAGGGGACTAGAAATAACTCAATCCATGGAAAACATAAAGATAAGAGAAAGAATAACTAAAACTAGACCAAATAATAAATATTACCAAAAAAACAGATAAGCGAACGGAATAACAAGGGTTCTTGTAAAGTTAATAATTTAAAAAATGATATAAATCTTGAATAATTATAAATTATGAATGTTTTGCTTTTCAATCAGGATATCACTCTTTACATACAAATACATTTTACTGAATGTTATTATCATGTTACTGTAGATTGTTTTATTTTGTTAATTGTTCTGTCAGGAGCAAACAGCAGGAAATGCAAAAAACATAATTAAAACATTAAAAGTACACCAGATTTTTTTTTTTTTGTTTGCAGGCGACAACAATTATAGTTCTGGTCATCATAAATCTGTTGTCCACAAAAGAATCTAAAAAGTGTGATTAACTCTACTACCCTTATATCAAATCCAGGGCAACCAGTTGTTTTTAGAAGTAGCCGGACGGAGCTTGAGGAATTTCTTAAAGAAAATATTTTTAAGAAGATGTTGTATAGAAGTGATATACAGTGAGAAAAATAAGTATTTGAACACCCTGCTATTTTGCAAGTTCTCCCACTTCAAAATAATGAAGGGGTCTCTGAAATTGACATCGTAAGTGCATGTCTACTGTGAGAGACATAATCTAAAAAAAAAATCCAGAAATCCCAATATTTGATTTTTTTAAACTATTAATTAGTTTGATACAGCTGCAAATAAGTATCTGAACGCCCGTCTATCAGCTAGAATTCTGACCCTCAAAGACCTGTTAGTCTGTCTTCAAAATGTCCACCTCCACTCCATTTATTATCCTAAATTGGATGCGCCTGTGTGAGGGTTACTGTTTGTAGTACATTAAGATGTCATGCTTTGAAATCATGCATGCAACAGAATGTTCCTCTGCTTAAACCAGCACATGTCAAGACCCATCTTAGGTTTGCCATTGACCATTTGGATGATCCAGAGGAGTCATTGGAAAAAGTCATTTGGTCAGATTAGACCAAAATAAAACTTGTTGATCATAATTCTACTAACTGTGTTTGGATGAAGAAGCATGATGAGCACCATCCCAAGAACACCATCCTTACTGTGAAGCATGGGGGTGGTAGCATCATGCTTTGGGGATGTTTTTCTGCACATAGGACAGGGCGACTGCACTATATGAAGGAGAGGATGACGGTGGCCATGTATTGCAAGATTTTGTGGAACAACCTCCTTTCTTCAGTTAGAGCATTTATGATGGGTGGAGGCTGGGTCTTCCAACATGACAATGACCCGAAGCACACAGCCAGGATAACCAAGGAGTGTCTCTATAAGAAGCATATCAAGGTTCTGGTGTGGCCTAGACAGTCTCCAGACCTAAACCCAATAGAGAGTATTTGGAGGGAGATCAAACTCCATGTTTCTCAGCGATAGCTCAGAAAACTGACTGATCTAGAGTAGATCTATGTGAAGGAGTGAGCCAAAATCCCTCCTTCAGGGTGTGCAAACCTGGTAAAAGACTACAGGAAATGTTTGACCTCTGCAATTGCAAACAAAGGCTATTGTACCAAATATTAACTTTGATTTTCTCTGTTGTCCAAATACTTATTTGCAGCTGTATCATACAAATAGATAGTTTTAAATCATACATTGTGATTTCTGTTTTTTTTTTCCAACACAATGTCTTTCACAGTGGACACGATGACAATTTCAGACCCCTCCATGATTTCTAAGTGGAGAGCTTGCAAGATAGCAAATGCTTCCCTCACTGTGGCTGCTACAGACATACCCCCTGAAGACTTTCAGCCTCTATAGGTTTACAAAGTATTAAATCTCATAGTTGTTTATGGGAAACAAGGGGTATGAATACTTCTAAAACACTGCTAATACACTTTCCACTAAATACTTAATAAATATCTTCTAAATCTTCTAAATACTTAATAAATATTCTCTATTTACTGATAGGAGGACCTCAAGGCCAGTCTCCATGTTCTGACCCATGAGTTTCGCCAGCTGCAGGATAACCACCAGAATCAGCTGAACTATCTCAGAAATCAGGCCTCAAAGCCGTGCAGGTTGAGGGCCATGAGTGATGTCAGCCAGTGTCGACAGGCCTCCATCAGGCTGCAGCGGAGGCTCAGTGGAAGCATGATGGCACTGGAGGGCTGGTACGAACCCCGGATGGTGGCCCTGCTGAGGAGAAGGCAGGCCGCCGAGGAAGCATTGAGAAAATCCAAAGACCAGGCTTTGGACCTAAGAGATAGGCTGGCCCCTTTAAGAGAAGACGTAAAGAGGCTAGAGATGCAGAAATCCTGTCTGGAGAAAAAGATTACTCTTATGACGACAGAGAGGGAGGAGAGAACGGCACATCACAAGGTAGGACTTGTATGTACAGGGAGGATGATTGGATGCAGTAAGTCCCAGACTGATGGTATGGTTTGTGCAGGAGACTGTGGAAAAACTACAAGACACACTGAAAGAATTAAAAGTGGAGTTTGAGGTCCAAAAGAACTATAGAAATAATTTGGAGAAGCTCATAGAGGGCCTGAAAACAGAGCTCATGTTTTTAAGGTACATTTTTTTCTAGGTTTTTTGGCTTCCTCTGATGACCTAGAAGATAAATAAATGAAAAACATTTTATTTTGCAGAGGCACAGATGAACCACGTAACATCTCTGAAGAGGAAGAACAATTATCTGTCTCCAGAGGGTGAGAGCAGAGCAAACAGTACATCCCACTACAGCATCTGCAGTGCAATGTTTACAGCATGGCCTCTGTTATCCAGCTATTTGGGTCTTTTTTAGATGTTTCCTAAATCAGTTAAACCTTTCCAGGATCATCGAACACACACAAAAATAATAAATCTACCTTCCGGCTTAGCTCCATTATTTCAATCACTTTACTTGTTTCTCAAACAGTGAAAAAAGAATCAGTATGATTCTGTCACCACCATGCTAAACTCTTGACTTTATTTGTAAATATCACGTTAAATATCCCCATAAATTCATACATCTGTGCAAAAAATGCAAGCTTTTCTTCAGCCATTCAAATTTCCGCCTGGCTGGCAGGATTTTTTTAAATGGCACCTCCTGAGTCCACGGTGATGTGAAAATAGCATTACTGTGGACAGTGACACTGGTGTTCCAGTGGTTTCCAGTTTAAAAGTTTGGAGAATTTAGTGGTTCTGTTTTACATTCAGAATCATATCCATTACTCTGGTTACATTTTGGGAAAAATTGTCAAAACTTGGTCAAAACCAGTTTTGCAGGTTAACTGGACTAACATGCTTTTCACTTGCCCTTGACCTGAACATTGAAAATCTCAATCTTAATGGGCTCCACAGGTTTTGCAGAAAATATCCAGCCTCATGCCAGGACTTTATTGAAGGCAGCAAATGGGGTTTCTATGCACAACAAAAACCCAACCAATTCTAGTATACAAAACTTCAGAAATGGGAAAAATAAAGTATTTATAATTAACTGTTTCACCCATCTCCTACAATTCATAGCAATGGTTTACCATGTTATTATCATGGATCCATATTATATTCATACACGTGTATATTAACTTCTAAAAAGATGGCAGCTCACTCTGAAAAGCAGGAGACAACTTTTCTGTAAATATTTTTATTATGAATATACTTAGATACACAAAAGTTCAGATGCAGCACAGGGGAACAAAATGCTGAAGAAACAAAAACACGAACAAGTGACAACACACAAGCTGGAAAATTCACCTACAAATATCAAGCAAACAAAAATGGAAAACCAACAGTATGTACAATTGTATTAAAAGTGGATCATTGTGATCATTTTTCTGCTCAGCTAACAAGAAGAAAGGAAACTGATAACAGCAGACATACGATGGTTTCATCACAAACCACGGATGATTTTGAGAAAACAAAACAAACCTATTTTAAAATCAGAACGAAGTGGGTGTCACTTGAAATATGTCAAAACACCTGATGGTGCAAAACTTTTTTTTAAACACTTTTCTCCTAGATGCATTTCACAAGGTCTCACTGCTAATGAAAGCAGATGTGAGAAAGTGATCCGTTTCTAACAAGCAGGTCAAAAGAAGCCCGGTATCAGCTGGACTCATGCCTGGACCTCCGAGTCTGCAGCTCCCTCTGGGTCCTCATCATTGTAGATGTTCTCAGCCTGTGTGGGAAGGAATCACAGATTTAGAATTTTACTTTTTATAAATTAAATAAGCTTCATTCCTCAGTTGGAACAGTGCAGTCCTCTCATAGAATAAACAAAAGCATCTCTGCTATTAGCAAACAAACCTCACATAATTAGCAGGAAAAAAAAAACAAGAGATATCTATATCATGCCGATATGTGCTAGTTGGGATTGAAACGAGCATAAATACATAAACAACATTTACTGTAGTCAAGCCCAGGGCCGAGGATCAATTAAAATCTCAAGAATCGATTCAAGTCTCAATATTTAGATTAAATTTCCCATCTTAAATTGGATTTTTGGTATTAAAACCATTTTTTTCACCTTTAGCCATGACTTGAATGACATGACTGTTGTTACTAGTATTATAATAAACATTCAACAAAGTAGTTAAAGGTGGCCATTAGGACAATGGAACAAAAAATGAAAGATGTTTTTTGGTTATAAGAATTGATCTTAAGTAATCAATGACAATAAATTCAAAATAGCCAGTCCCTTAGTGTCAGAAAAATCATACGTTTAAAATTAAGTTAATATTTTTTTTTTGGATATTCCATACGTGGAAAACATCAACCTAATTCCAACTTTCTCCAGATTGTCTAGGAACCTTGTATAACTCACAGGATGCAACAGGTTCAACAGTGAGCTCTTACCATCTGCCACACTTGCATGATGTTGTCCTCCGACACTGAACATATGACCCACGGCTCGTTGGGGTTCCAGGAAAAGTCAGAGATCTTAGCTGTGTGTCCGCCATGGATGAACTAAGAAGCAGAGCAGGAAGAATGAGGAAACCGTAGACTGAACAGCTGAAAAGAGGAGCAGAGTTTAAGATAAGCACTCACCAGCAGCTCGGGAGGACCATCCTCAGCATCCTCTGGCGACTGCTCCTCTCCGATCTTACTCAGGTCCCAGACGTTGAGTCGCCTGTCGGTGCCGCTGGAGGCGAGGATCGTTTCGTTATGGGGAGACCACTGAACCTGTGAGAGGAAATCAGAGGGGACACATTTACTACAACAGTAGTTTCTTATACGAAAACAAATATTTATACTTTCACGGGTTATTATAGATAATAGATGAAAGTTAATTAGATTAGATGGATTATTATCCGTTTATTACAGTTTGCTGAAGATTTAGTAGACATTAGCAAATATACCATTTTTTTTTAATCGTGCCCTCTTAATTAAAGCTTGCTACTTTAAACTTCAACGTTTATGCTGGATATTGTTTTTACTGATCATTTACCACCAAATTTTAGTTCATTCTTGTTGCCTCACTTAGCAAAATGTAATGAAATTGTAATTGAATTAGTCAGTACCGACTAATATTCTAGTGAACCTCCAAATACTAATGATAGGTAGAAACCCTGCATGTGTTTCTGGTTATGATATGTTTTTACTTTGCTGGGTTTATCTGTTGCGCTATTTTTTAAAATGCAAAATAAAATAATCTAAATCTTAAATTTAGGTCTTGCCTGGAAGATCTCGTCCTTATGAGATTCAAAAGAGTGGAGTTTCAGTTTCAGGTTCCTCAGGTCCCAAAGAGCCACAGTCTGACGAGTGGAAAAGAAAAATTGATTAATGTGAGACAAAACTACAAGAGAATTAATGAGTTTTCCAGAATCGTGTCCCACCTTGTCAGCAGAGCCGGTGGCCAGAATGAACTCGCTGTAAGGGTTGAAAGACAAGCAGTTGACTTCAGCAGTGTGGGCGTCCACCGCATGGCTCGGTTTGGAGGTGTTGTTCGACCGTGTGTCCCAGCTTTAAAAAAAAAAAGAATGGCTGTTAAGCAGCAGGTCACAATTACTGTTTTTTTGTTCTCTAAAAGTTACACACATCATGAGTTTCTGGTCATCTGCCACTGATCCAAAGAGAGATTCATGGAGCAGGTGCCAGGAGACATCCTCCACAACAGCAGTGTGGCCTGTAAAGATTGTTTTGGCATCCACGATCTTCCCCTCCTTTGGCACAGTGCTGATATCCCAGAGGCATATAGTCTAAAGGGGAAAAAAGTTATAAATAATAAGCTTAAATCACAAAAACTACTGCATTATAATTACAATCAATTTGTATTAAAAACAGATTAATAAGCTTGCAAAAGATTCAAACAGGGCTCTTACGTGATCATCAGAAGCACTAAGGAGGCATCCGCTGAGGTTTGGGTTCCAGGAGAGGCCATAGCCCTCCTTCTGGTGGCCCCTGAGACGTAGATCTGGGGTGCATTCTCCAGAGGGATCTTTTATTTGATAAGATAAAGTAATGTTCAGAGAGTCTGCAAATGTTCAGAGCCATTATGCGGTTAAGCAAACTGTGTCAAGAGTGGCCTTACCAGGTTTGGAGGGGTGTTTTGTGTAATCAAAGACCAGCACATCGCTGGTTGGGGTTTTTGTGGCAATAATACAGGGGTTCTGGGGCATATAACGAGCTCTATTCACTTCTCCTTCATGATTGATCTTTATTTCAATCTCTATTTTTCCACTAACAGAGCCAAAGCCTCCAAACTCTGAAACAAACAACAACAAAAATACTTAAAACTACATTCAGATGGGTGGAGTAAATCAATGTTTTGATGCATTTCACCAGACTACACCTCACCTCCTTTCTCGCTGTCATAGTGTGAGGCATCAAACTGGGCATCGTCATTTGGAAGCTGAACACTGGCGATTACAAGGTGATTCTGCTCATCAGAAGTGTGTGTCCCCAAAACCAGTCTATGCACACTGTAGTCCTTTCCCTCTGGTCTGTGGAGAGTAAAAAAAAATAAATAACTCATACAAGGACTGGGAAGAGATGGTTTAATGTATAAATAGGGGTAAGTGTAATTTCTTGCCAAGACTACTACCTCTTAAAATGCATCTAATATTTTCAGATTCTTTCAGCACTGATGTGTTAGAATATTTTATACAGGATTGTTTCAATGCCAAGTCTATGACACATCAACGTCAAAACATTGGAAATTATCAGAGCAAAAAACTGGAATTGGGAAGGTCCCATGAAGGAACTGTTTAGGCATCATGTCTTCCATCTGTTTTCTGGACCTATATCAGTGAAGGTGAAGCCCCCATACTCACCTGGTGACATCTGGCAGCCACTGGGCGGTCAGGCTGGGCCACTCCAGGGCATGCGTCATGACCAGATCATAGAGAAAAGGGGTGTTCTTCTTCCAGATCTTGTACTCCTCATTAATCACCCTTTCTTCCACGGCATCATCAAATGCAGCTGCAAAAAAAATAAAATAAAATATTCAAACATACTGTTAAAATACAACCTACAAAGCTGCTTAGCATAACTAGAAGAGAGCTGGAAATAACCATGTGGCTGCTGAAATATTTTAACCATTCACTTGTTAATTTACCACCACTATTGCAGTCATTTTGCCAATTTCTTATGTTATAATATGACTGCGATACGATTCTTTCTGCAAACTATAACAAAAACGCCTTAAATGTAACTCTAAATACTCGGGTGTGTGGTAAGTATCATCGCATTAAAACTCCCCTTGTCAGTAGCGAGTTAGCGGCTAACTGCTAGCATGCTGCTCCGTAACAATGAAAGGAGATGTTGGCTGACGCGCCAACAGCCACCGGTCCGACATGTCTCGGGTTTTAAACGGCTGTAGACCGTGAACACTTAAACACAGACGTTGTGTCCCGAAGGAAGGTTACTCTTACCGTCTTTGTCAGCCATTTCTTTGTTGGTGGGTAAACTATTCGGGCAAAAAGAAGTATTTTTGGGGAGAGCGCAAAGAAGACAGCACGGAGATCCGCAATGGCGCCAACTCCACAGAACACCAGCGGCCAATCAGCACGCAGCAAAAATCGACAGGAAGTCCTTATGACAGTGGATCCGGAAGAACTGAAAAGCAAGACAGGCCAAGAATTGAGTCTTAAAGGGATATTGGGAAATGAAGGAAATATAAAGAATATTAACAGATTAAGGAAAACATTGTTTATCTATCTACAGAATTCAAAATAAAAAAATAGAATTTGATGTAAGGTAATGTTGCTACAAACTCATGTACAGTAGGTGGCGGTATGTATCTTAAAGTTCCTTGCGATCCGCAATAATAAAAAAGACGAAGAAGAAGAACTAAAATGCAACACAAAAAGTGGGAAATTGTATTATCATGTTTGTAACAGGCAAAATATTCTTGTTTTTTTATATTTTCTCGCATAAGGTCGTTCAAATTTCAGTTTAAGATGTTGCGTTGCAACAATTAGAAGAAACTATAAATAAACTAAATCATCTTACTTGTATGTATATTACGTTTATATGCTTTGGCATATTTCAGATGTGGAAATGTATATTTAACAACATGAACATGGACTGAGAGTTCTGTATTAACATAAATACATTAAATACGTCGACCCCTTTCTTCCCTTTATTTTTATACTTTGTACAGTACCCTGACGTAGCTAATTAAATATATAGCTCAAACAAACTGCGAATGCACCATTAGCTCTAGCTCATCGACATGGTGTTTAGCAAGCTCATTCCTTAATTTTTGATTTTTATTCAACTTATAGTTTTAATGGACGACCGTGAGCTTGACCTGACTGGGGCACAGAAAGCTATCAAATCTAAATATCCTCCTATCAACAAGAAATATGAGTGTAAGTTCAACATATGTAAGCTTTGCTTGTTCCATTTAGTTATACTTCAGAAAAAGTTAAACTGTAGGAACTCAAAACCTTTGGTGTAGAGCTATGAAAACAAGAACTTTCTTCTCTCCTGGAATTTAAAATATCCCGCTGTCATGTTAAAACTGATTAATAACTCGGTTCTACAGTCAGCTTGCTGCATGCCACCACGAGCTAATGCTAACCTAGCATTGGAGGTTCCTGTTTCATCAGCTCACAACAGTATTCTAGACTTAAGGCTTAACCATTAAAAAGTAAAAGCTGCTCTAGTTGATTTTTATATATATTTATAGAGTTCCCCACTAGGGAGAGCAATATATCAAACCAGGTGCATTTAGAACAGCTCCTAAACCCCACCTTGAGATGTCCCATAAAATCTCTGGGAAATGTGACCATTTCAAACCACCTGTTTGGTTCAAACCATCCAGATTTGAACCAAACAGGCCTACCACAGCCTCACAGGGCTGCTTTGAAAGTTGGCTTTCAGATCAGGGGAAAGCCTGTCCAATGACAGGGCCTGGGCAGAGCTATGGAGGGCTGTTTAACAGATAAAACACAGGAGGAAGCAGTGAATTGAGGAGCGCTTCCATAATAACCCCCCACCCCCTACTGCCTGACACTTTGAACAGCTTCTTTGCAAGCTTTGATTTTCCAAGCAGTAGGAAGCCTGAATATCATCCACCATCAGAGCTGCAGCATCAGCCTCTGGTCCTTCAGCTACATGAGGTGAGCAGAATGAAAACCAGACATGGTCAGACTCCCAAATCGTGTGCAGGCCAACTTAAAGTTTTTTTTTTTTTTTATTCATCTTAACCTCTCTCTGCAGCTTTCTGCCATCGATGTCAATCCGACCCCAGTCATTCCAAACTTGTTCAAGAGGATCCTTCTTAAATTAATCAAACATGCTGGCCTAGACAGCTGGCTATTCGCCTACAGGGAGAACCGTTCTACGGAGTGAGCTGTCATCTTAGCACTACTAACGTATCTGATTCATCTGCAGCATCTTTTTATCTTTTTTTTATGATGCTTTTTTTTGCTGTCGACACCTCTGTGGTTGGTTTCATATCAAATAATGAAGAGACTCTTCCCTAAACCACCAGCTAAACCCATCTCAGCACAACAGCGTAGTGTGGAAGAGGAATTGCTTAGCATGGATTGTGGGATTCCTTGAGCCAGATCTGGACTTTATGAATGTTGCACGGTCCAGAGGAAGGCCAAAGGCATTGCTTTAGCTGAGATGTTTTTCCCTTTTCCACTAGCAAAACAATGCAGGAACATCACAACCAGAACAAATGGGTTTAAAAACTGTTTCTTTTCATGTGCTGTGAAAGAAAAATTCCCCTTTATAGACAGGAAATAGTCAATTCCATGATCAATGATCATTCATAGGATGCTCTAAGACGAAGTGCACTTTATGGGAATTCATCATTGTACATCCCCAAGTATATATTTTTATACTTTTTTTTTCTAAGGGTGTTTTTCTTAGACAGCTTTTATTGTCATTTTTTATACACAGAGTGTATACAAAACCAAATTTCATTTTGTAATTTCATTTTGTACAGCTTTCAGACAGTAAATGAGCAATAAAATGTAAACAGTGTGGGAGAAAAAACATGGTGCAAAAACACGTTGATATTGAAGTTCAGCGCATTTCAAGACAGATAGATATGGTGCAGTATTTGGTTTGAACATTTAAAGTCTAAGCAACTAAAATCAATCACTTTTCCTCCTTCATATTTTTTAATAATCTATCTTTGTCTTTGTTCTATTTCTATATACTGTGAGCCAAACATCCTGACAAGAGAGATCTATAGCAAAATAATTATAACTGTTGATGTCATGTTAAACCTGTATCTCTTGTTCCATTTCAGACCTGGATCACACAGCAGATGTGCAGTGAGTTTTTTGTGGCTTGCTTCAGTAAATTCCTGACCACCTCATGTTCAGCGATCATCTTGATTTGTTTCATTTATTTATATTTTTCCAGAATTCACTCCTGGGGAGACTCGTTGGAGGAGGCTTTCGAGCAGTGTGCCATGGGGATGTTTGGCTACATGACCGACACAGAGACGGTGGAACCGATCGATACTGTTGAAGTGGAATCAGAGGGTGAGAAAGTGGCCGAAAGCAAACTGTGGCTTGGGTTTCATGTGATAGACCAACACAAAAAAAAAAACAATGACGAAGTAGAAAATGTTTTACAAAAGAGAAGAAAATACATGTATAACCTGCTCCTTCATGCTGTGTTTCACTGTTTTATTTGGATTTAAAATGATTTGTAAATGTCACTATTTTTGTTTTGTTTTACATAGAATGAATTCTATACATGTCTGCCTTTAATCATATGCCTCTAAATAAATCGCAGTAAAACCAATTGCTTTTAAATGTCAACTATATCACCGTTAGAGTGGATGTGAATAAAAAAGAGTAAATGCACCCTCATAACGAATAGGAAATTATGAACTTTGCTTTAAAGCTAAGTCAGTGCCTGGAAAACAGCCAGATTAAATCACATGTCTAGCAATGCTGCCTAGAAGAGTGATCATATATAAATGAAACTACTACTTGATTACATGCTAAGATGAGATATCTAAGATGTTAAATGCATAATTAAACCTCCCTGGGGGGAAAAAACAATTTAATATATATAATTTAGTATATATAATTAGGCTTTTGTATGTAAACAGGAAACATCTTTGTTTATCTTTGGCCTCGTTGGTGTTTTTTAAAATTTTTTATTGGAATTCATTTATTTGGTAATGAAACGGATCAGCGCAACATCTGCCCTCTGTTATCTTCACTGAGAACAAGAGCACATGCTATGCTAATTTTAAAACTGTGAATAAAACTCAGGTAGTTCTGAAGATGATTTCAAGGATTCCACTAGGATGGGGTGGAAGGATATAAATCTCCCTAATTTTCTCTTCAAAAAACACCCCAAACAGCAAGGTAGGAAATCTGATGATCCAGTTAAAATTCAAAACGTTTTGTTCAGTGTAAAATGAACACCACAAATGCAGTAGGGCATGGTGGCGGCTGCATCATTATTTGGGGCTTTTTTCTTTAGCTGTAAAGTACTCAGGGCAAGGTGGCAGCAGTTAGGGTTAGTCGGCTTTTTAACTGGAAGTAAACATATTCTAATCAACAAAAGGAAAGTTTTAGCAGAAATTGTCAAAGGGAAAACGGAGAGCCAGGGTCGAAGATCTGATTTAAAATCTGTATCCCTTTGAGGACTGTGAGCATTAGATTTAATTTGCAGGTTGAAGTTTGTTTTTGATTAAAATCAAAGGTTAATGGTTTAAATTAAAGGTGAAAAAGGTTTCTGGTTTATGTCTTTACATCACAGGGGGACAAAAGGCATTTCATCAGGGTTGAGTAGACTTGCTGTAATCTATGTAGTTCAAGGATGAAAAAAATACAAAGTTTTACAGAAACCCCAGTAGACTTACTGATGTCCTGCTGAATTGACAACTGATAGTCCACTCTGTGGTAGTTCTTTGTGTTTGTATGTTAAGTTGTTAATGGTGATCTGATCGCTCAGGGTGGATTTTTTTATTTTTTGTGAGTGGTCGTCGTTGGGCTTCAAATTTACATCTGAATCATTCGTGCATGATACAACCGCTAGGTCTTAATAGGGTAGGTTTCACCCACCCTTTGCAACGAAACAAAAATTTAAGATAAGATAATTTATCATAAGGCCAGTCTGTTTGCTCTTTTAAAATCATAATGGAGGCAAAAATATGACAGTCTTGTGGAGCGTTTTAGTTTTACAGATTGTAAGATGTCCTGTTTCTTTAACCAAAGACTTTCTGTAACTATGAACTAAACAACAGAATGTTGACTTTTTACCACTGTAGGCAATGACTGGTAACCATCACCTTGTGTTTTAGATCATTGCTGTGTTAGAATGTCTTACTGACTGATACTGGGGGAGTGTTGGCCTAGTGGTTAGAGCAGTAAGCTTGTGCTCTGAGAAGGTTGCAAGTAACCGGTTTGATCCCCACAGCCTGCATGCTGGGTCCCTGAGCAAGACCCTTAACCCCACACTGCTCCCCAAGGGGATGGGTTAAATGCAGAGGTAAATTTCTCCCATGTGAGATCAAATAAATTCAATTTTTATTTAATTAGACACCCCCCCCCTTTTTTTTTTTTCTTCTAACATTATGTATTCATTTTAGGATCAAGTTCTACCAAATTCTTCAAACGTGATTTGCCAAGCAGCTCTGAGATCAGTAATTACCCATGGAAGAACATATTTTCTACAAAATACCCCCCAAATATTCAAAGTTTGTTTAGGAAATATAATTAAAGATGATAACCAATAATCTAATTTAAATAAATAAATGTGGTTTTAGCATAACAGCGTTCTATCCCAGCTATTGTGCGACACGAGAGTCATCATCACCCGGCTAGTGTTTACGCATTTCGCCTGATCAGCTCATATCATGTCGTTTAAGATAAGTAAAAACTGCTCTCAATTGTTTTGTTTCAAAAGGTGAAGATCTGGAGTCTCTTCTGTTCCACTTCTTAGATGACTGGTTATACAAGTTTTCTGCAGATCTCTTCTTTGTCCCCAGGGTGAGTAATTGAACTACTCGTTGCAGTTTGATCACTTATGAAAAAAAAACACGTTAACAGTTTTTGTTCTTTCAAGTCACTCTTGGTTTTGATCAGCGCACCTGTTAAATATAATTTTCTAATCCTGAGAATTTGATTAATTTAAGTCTTATTGTTAATATTTGTTTTTAAGTATAATTTTGTACTTAAATCTGTTTTATCCGTTCACCAGGAGATCAAAGTCGTTTCCATTGATAGAATGCATTTTAAAATTCGCTCCATTGGGTAAGTTAAGACAAGATTTTTTACATTTATAAAAACTAGTATTCTGTTGAAATTAAGTGTAGTGCAACATTGTCCTCTAAATAGTTCTTCTTCTTTGCAATTCAAATACTTTCTTTCAGCTCTAGACAAGTAGTTTAATTAACTTACTTTAGTGTAAAAATGTGCGTTTTGACTTTGACCAAATTTGCTCTTTTGCTGATAAAGGTGGGGTGAAGAATTTTCTCTGGAAAAGCATCCTCAGGTAGAATCAAAAAGGAGACTCATATATATATATATATATATATATATATATATATATATATATATATATATATATATATATATATATATATATCTGTATGTTTGTGTGTGTGGATAATAAAATAGATTAGTCTTATTTTTGCTCTATATTTTTGTTTTCTAGGGAACTGAAGTGAAAGCTATCACATACTCTGCAATGCAGATCCACGATAAGGAGAAGCCAGAGATATTTGCCATCATTGATATTTGAGAATTCTGGTTCGATGAAACTGCTGATTTTATATAGCCTTTTTTTTTTCTTTGGATTACTATTTTATTTCACTTGTAAAATAAGGTGTATTGGGTTTGATGATTTGCTTTATATTTAACTCTCCTTATAGTTTATTTAACTCTGGGCTCTTGTCTATGTGTTTAATGTAAAACTTCAGAAAAATGAAATAAATAAATTGCAGCACTATAAATGGTGTCTATGGTTTAAAATCAGGATGTTTACTTGAAGTCGTTAATAAAACTGATTAAAAAACTTGATCAAAATTGTATTTTGATAAATATATTAAACGGTTCATCTGTTTTCTTCTATGATGTAGTTCATATTGTTATAATTACTCAAATTTTAGTTTGGTGGGTTTGTTTTGTATTTTGTATTTAATATGAAAAGGGAAATTCCTTTACCAGAGCTAAATGTGTTTGTTTTCCTAGTATTTTCAACATATTTAACAAAACTCTGGAAATGAAAGGTTTTGGTTTAATATAAATGTTATTTTGTTTAAGCCACACAAAATAATCAAACTGAATCTTTTTTTTAAGACAAATAAATAAATAAATACATTTCATCATTATTGGTTCTCCTCCATAGAATAGTTTAATAAATAAAATGTCAAGAAAAGAGACTAAGAGAAAAGGGAATCCAATTTCAATTTAGGAATGAAAAGACATTAAAAACATCCAATGTTAATAAAAAGACATAAAGAAAATGATATAATTGAATTGTATAATGAAAAAGTAAACTTTGTCCACTTTCTAAACAGATAAATCTATTGAATATATGTAGCAATTAATTCTATTGTAATTGTATGCAATAGATTTGTGTTTTTAAAGGAAAAAATATGCCGTTAGTTCCATCTGAGAAGTGTGGCCTGCATGCGTTGCCCACTTCTCGCCAGCTAGACCTCAGAGGATTATTAAAAACTATTGGGTACTGTTTATAAAATCTAACTCTACACACCTCCACAACTAAGTACATTGTATTTATATAGAATGTTTCTTAGGCTGCAGTCACTAAGTGTTTTACAGTAAAACTACAGGAGCATTTTAAATATACATCAAAACAATCAGCTGTATTATTAGCCTGTCTGGTTTCTTCCTTGTTGTTGCTGTTTGCTCACTTATATTATTGGACAGACCTTGAACCTCACATATAAACTGGACCTATGCTGAGATTTAATTCCTAATAGATGGACTTTATTCATTATTGCGTTCAATAATTTTACATATAAAAAAAAGCTGCATACCAATGTTTGCCACAAAATGTTTTCTAAGTAAAAAACTTTCACAAATCATGATTGATTTTCTGCTTCACCACTTGCTATACTTTTTGTTGGACTATTACATGAAATGTAAAACTTCTTTTATTACCTTTTAGTTTATTTTATTCTAAACAAATCTGTCAAAATAAATTTACTTGATTGTTTGTTAACCATTTCCTTTTTACCAGATGGACACAAAATTGTCCTTTGCAATGCTTTCAGGATACAATACCAAAGCTAAGGACATCTTGGTGGAAGTTCCCATTCCGTTTGGAACATCTCTAGTTCCAATACCATGATTTTCCATTATTATGCAACCCCATGCTAAATGGGTTAATAACATATTTTGTTACTCTACAAACCTAAATGAAGCAGTTGCAATTAGATTTATCTATGTTTTACACATTCCAACACATGAAATGCCATTGGTAATAAAATGCTATTCCACTTGGGTTAATGATTGCAGTAATTAAGGCAAATGCCATCTACACAATTCCCAGGCAAAACCGCTTAAATTAACTGAAAAATATTTAGAAAAACAGAAAATTCCTTCTAATGTAGTTCAGTAACATTGACCGATTAGTCTAATATGATACATATCAGAGGCTCTTCACGGACATAACTCAAGCCAATCTTATTTAGATGGGTGCTAATTAGTTGAAGGTATCTATGGTGGAAACAAAATCTAGATTGAAATTGTTGGTCAGTTGTGATTTGAAATTAATAAAAGATAGGAAAACTTGGAGGGTAGATATAAACAATTTGCTAGACTTAAGGGCTGGGGTGTTTTCCAGACAATTGTGGAAGTATGCAGAAGGAAAGTTTACTAAATCCCATGTGCTTTACAACCCTCTAAAGGTTAAAAAGTATAGAATTCTATTAATTCCAGTACTTAACAGAAATGTAAACATTGTTGACATAATTAGGGGCCAAATAATATTTACACAAAAAGAAAAACAGCCTGCTCTTATTGTCAGTTGGGTGAACAACACTAAACTGATATGGATGAATAATACTGATGTAATGGTTCATATTCAATTTTTTCTGTATAAACATTAAATTTTATTCACATCAGACACACAATCTTTTTTTCCAAGAAAGACCCAGCTTGAAGAAGCTTGATGCTTTTTTTTTTATTTTTTATTCGACATAATTTTTTTTAATTTGTGGTTCATATCTAAACAATCGAAAAAAAACATTATTGCTTCAGATTGATTTAGGGCTTTCTTAAAGTAAAAAAAAAAAGAAAGAAAGAAAGAAAATAGGCGGGAGCAAAGATGTTTCCGGTTGCCAGTGACGTAACTTCCCTCTCTCCTCTCAAATGCTGCTGCGCCATCCCTCCTTTGTCTGCTGCTGACCAGAGAAACCGGCAGGGATCACCGCTCCGCAGTCTGCTTTATTTCCTCTCTCAAATTTTTTTTTCAAAGTTAATATAACCCAATTCTGTACTATTTCAATCCGGCGAATTAACCGCGAGTTAGTTTTGAGCCAGAAATCCAAGCGTCTGTAAGTCCGCCATAGTCGAGCCTTGGCGAAGAAAGAAAATCAAAATGGAAGACACTAAATACCTCCCGGAGCTGCTTGCGGAGAAGGACAGCTTGGATTCCTCCTTTACACATGCCATGAAACTCATCACCGCGGGTAATTTGGATAGTTTATGCATCTTTAAAGAAAAAAAAAAAGTTAAATGATGATTTTTCTTTTTTTTTTTTTGTGCAAACGCATTTTTTCAAGGCCAGGCCCGAACAATGGCGCATTAAGACACGTGGTTATTATATATGTGGGTCAGATCCCCTCTCTCCCTTAAGAGGTTTTATTCATTTTAGAGAGCCACATGTGATGTATATTTTTTAATATACGTTTGTGCAAAAAAATATTTCCCTCCTTTTCTAGGAAAAATCCAAAATGTCAAAATCCTTTTTAAATGGGGGAATATATTACAGGCTGTATTTATGAATGGGGTAATCATTTAATTGTACACAAAATGCATTTTAATTTAAGCTTACATGTTTCTTTGCAGAGATTGAAAGGATTCAGAAAGGCGAACCCAAGAAAGCACAGGAAAAGGAGACCTACCTGGACCTGTTTGCCACAAAAACTATGAAACTGAAGGAGCGGGTCCTCATCCCATCAAAGCAGTACCCCAGGGTAGGTATAATGAGGTTTCTGCAGGTTAATTGTGTAGAAACCTAAAGACAACTGTAATTTAAGCCTAGGATTCAGGAGGACAAACGTGTAAATGTAAATCCATTTATTTTACTACAATGGGGAAATTCACTCTGCATTTGACCCATCCCCTTTGGGAGCCATGGGCAGCCATTGTGTGGCACATGAGGAGCAGTGTGGGGTTGAGGGTTTTGCTCAGAAACCCACAACCATATGAGGACTGCTCTAACCACTAGGCCAGTACTTCTGTTTCTCTGAGTTAGCTATACATGTGATTCCCTCCCACATGTTGAAATCCTTTTCCCATTGTCTGTGTTCCTTTATGAGTGGTTCTGCAATTCTTGATGTAATAAAGGCTAAAATGAAGATGCAGATGTGGCCTTTGCTCTGTTTCTAAATTATCTGGTCATTATCATGCAGGTTAACTTCGTTGGAAAGCTTCTGGGGCCTCAGGGCAGCACGATCAAAAGACTCCAGGAGGAGACTGGAGCAAAGATCTCAGTTTTGGGAAAAGGGTCAATGAGGGACAAAAACAAGGTTTGTGTATTTAAAAAAAAAAAAAAAAAAAAAGAACAATTTAGATGGTGAATACATTTTTCAACATGACCATAAACTATGAATTGATCCCCAGGAGGAAGAACTCAGGAAGGGTGGTGAGTCTAAATATGCTCACCTGGCCATGGAGCTACATGTGTTCATTGAGGTCACAGCGCCCATTCCAGAGGCGTATCTGCGTATGGCTCATGCCATGGATGAAGTCAAGAAGTTCCTCATCCCAGTCAGTGAAATCTTTAATCCCACACCTTTAATCTGCTTTTTATGCAGTGGGTCCGTAACCTCTTGAACCTTTCTGCTGTCCTTTCAGGAGCCTGGTGAGCATGACCCGTACATGGATCCTCAGTTCCTGAATGGATCTCAGGATGGTTCTGGAAGAGGGCGAGGGGGTCTTGGAAGGGGGCGAGGGGGACCACCTGGTGCCGGAGGACCAAGGTGAGTACTTTTTGTGTTAAGTGCATGGTATTACATTAGTTTCCTTAAATAACAAAGTCATTTGTTCAGGGGCAGAGGTATGCCACGCGGAGCACTCCGAGGAACAATGCGTGGAGGAGCACCCCGTGGAGGACCAGCCAGGGGTAGTGCACCCAGAGGGGGCCCAGCCGGTAGGGGGGGTCTGCCCTCTGCTCCTACCAGAGGAGGATCTGCTACCCGCTCCAGACCACCTACAGGTGGCGCCCCGCGGATGCTTCCTTCAGCAGCCTTGTCCCACCAAGGGGGTCCTTCAGGATCACAATCCAAACCTGACGCTTACGATGAATATGTAAGTACTTCTGATTTGTAATGGACACAGCTTAAGATCCACATCTATGGAATAAATGTCCACCTTTTTACATCTAGGGCTCATATGAGGAGGCTTATGCAGAGCCTTCCTACGAGGGATACGATAGCTATTACAGTCAACAGGCTGCACCTGCGTAAGTGTTTTTGTTTGTTTGTGTGATTTTTATTTACAAGAGTCTTATTTTTAAAATGTATACGTATTATTCTGGTTTTAGGGATACAGAGTATTACGATTACGGACATGGTGAAGCCCAGGATCCATCATATGAGGGTTACGGTATGTTTGAGCTGTTAAACGGCATCGTGCAGTGAATCTTCTCCCATGTACCATATGGTGAAATATTTTTTGTGTTTTCTCCCCTTTGCAGGTCAGGGAGACTGGGACAACTCGTGGTCCGGCTCTGGAGCTGGAGGCAAAGCTCCCGCTGCACGGCAGACCAAGGGTTCATACAGGGATCATCCATATGGCAGATACTGAACAACAACTGGTAGAGAGTTGCTTTAGCAACTGTCTCCGATATAACTGGCTAAACTTTACACAAAGTAATTCCCCCTCTTGTTTGTTCCCTTTTTTTACGGTATATTTTATGTTCTGTTAACTTTTTTTTTTTAAACTTAGAACAAGTTATGTTGGATGTGTTAGTGCTGGATAAGAAACACAATTTATATGAAAAGGAAAACAGACTTTTTTTCCCCCAATGTTAATCCTTTTTCCATTACATGTTCCAATAAGGGTTCAATCAATTAACTTTAACAGCTGGACAAAAGTGATACTGATAATTAATTGCTATTTCAGTTAATGGTTTAAGTAACAAACTGTGATTGTGGCGATTTAAACTATTACCATCTAGGCTGCATTTCCCAAAAGTCCTTCACCACTGGACATTAATTGCTCCTAATGCTTCAGTTTAAGTTTCTATTTATATATTTGCCTAAAACAAATTTAAACACAGCCTTAAGATATTTTGATGAGCGGAAAAAAAATCTTAAATTTGTGTTAAATATCTAGTTTCTCTTAAATTGTAGAAATCCATATTTTTGCCAATTGGTATGTAAAGTCGCTCTGTAACGTGAAAAACTGATCTAATGTTTCTTTAAGCTTGAAGGATAGACTGCAGCCACATCAATATTTTGTACATAACCTTAGGATAACTGTGTTTGCTTCAAGTCGTGCCGTCTCAAAATGCTCAATGCTTGTGTACCTTTGACTAAATAGTATACTAAACGTATCCCAAAATGTTTTTCTGCAGTGCGTGTTTCAATAAAGTTTCTAGTTTCTTTTTAATCAATCTAAACAGTATTTCTGCCTTTTATTGTACCAAAGGATTGCCTTCACTTTGTGAAAATGGTCCTCAACTGCTCCCCAATGCTGATTTAAGCTTGTATGTATACACCTCAACCTGAGCTGAATTTGGACAAATACAGGAGAGAGAAAAAATAAGGACACGTAGTGTTTTCCTGCCCAATGAGCTCACCCTTTTGAGTTGTTTTTCAAACTAGACGCTTGTAATGCCACTTTCAAAAAA